TTTCAAGTTTATATATGACAACATATTTGTGTAGCAGTATACATTTTTAACAGTCTATACAAAAGTTACAAGTAAATAGAACTAAATATTTGAAAAGAAAAACACATGAAAACTCTAGTCAAACATGTTTTTATAGCTACAAATGATGTTGTGCTTTAGTGTCCAGTTTCGGCATTTTTGATCTCGATTCCAAACGTGCTCTTATGAATCCGTCGCGTATATGCCTCTCCACCGACTGAGTGTGACAAGGATAGCAGGTGAAATCCAGTCTTGGTGTGTCTTCTTCCCGGATCATGGTTAAAAAAGTATCGTCATCAATGTCCATTACCATTGGAGGCTCTGTAATTGGAGTTTTTTGCCAATCGATCATGTCTATGTAACTGGTAGCTTCAAAATTGATTACTGGCACACAGAAAGATCTAACTGAACTCGTGCGCTTCTGCTTCCTGGATTTCATTATACGCCTCAGAGCCAACTCGCGTATTTCTGATTTTTCGTCGGTAAGCATCACAAGCAACAGGTTTTCTGGATGAGTAAAAAATGCGTTGTGTTGAATTACTGGATCAACAACTTTCTTCAGCTCGCCTGTGAGGTAGCGTGATTTCAGTATTGTATTATGGACATGTCGAGCGCCATCTTTACATGAAGAAGTATTTTTTATTTCAAACCATGCTGGTGCATTAACTGTTACGATGAAGGTAACCATTGTCTTCAATTCATCCGATGGGCATCTTGTACAGGCGTAGTATTCGATTAGCCGTTGTTAACCATCTTGAATGATTGATAACACCAGGATTGCAAAGTGAAAGGCCTACAGGACAAACGCCAACACTGACAGCGGTGCACAAGTCTAACAGATATTTTTGATCTGTACTTAAATTGTCAGAATTTAAACCTGTCAGTAGAACACAGTTTATGGGTGTGTATTTGACAACGGGAAGCTTCCCACATGCCACCAATGATTTTCCGATTGGACCAGAAAATCCTTTTGGACCATTGACAGGTCCATCTAGATGTTCGAACAAATGCCTTAATGGTAATTCGTTAGCATGTAGCTGACATACAAACCATTGCAGCGGTTTGTTCAACACCACTTCAAGTAATCGAATGATACCTCCTCGATTGCCTGTATTAGCAACGGTTCCGTCACAACCTACAGCTTTTATACCACCCAGGTCAACATTCTTTTTACTCAAATATGCAATCAACTCAGCCGCAATAGCTTTGCTTGACCCTGCAATTGGTGTAATGTGGCCAAAATAGATGGATCCTGGTTCGGATATAATCGATATATGTTCTTCAGTTGTTAGTTTTCGATGAAATTTCCCATCACATTCTTTAATAAGGGTTATTGTACTGTCTTTTCTTCCATCAAAATATAGCCCAGTGATTGTGTTACTGACATTGGCACATAATGTTCCACGTTTTTTACAACGCTCTCGTCGCACTTTACTTCTGTCAATCACTTTAGAAACATCCCTTTCGTGGATTATTCCAACATCTTGAAGAACAGCACTGACGATTCCTGCTGCGGCCCTGTCGGATACACCATGTCGATCACATGCTAACACCAGAGATGGTAACTTAACTCTTATCTGCTTGTCACTCAACTTTCTAAATTGTTCATTAGGATCCGGCATACAATCGTCATCGCTAGCATCAGTTTTCTCTTCCGTAGAAGAAAACTCCTCACAAACATCTGACTGTTTCTCACTGATGTCATCAATGTCAGATTTGCTGCACATCTGCCTCTGCGTCAACTCTTTACAAATATATCCTTTTTGCGATTTGATGGGTTCGGCCTCATCAACTTTAGCAATGATCATACCTCGTGGACCCCGCTGATCTTCTAGAAAATCACGTTCAATTCAATTTTCACACTGACACTGAGACATGAAAGAACACTTGCAGGAGCAAATGTCAAAGAGTTTTTTGGATTCATTTTTAAACTGAGATATTTTCTCTCGGTATGGTCTGGAGTCTTTTCTAGACTTATATGGCTTCAGCAAATTCATGAACGTCTTGTGGTACTTGTTCAACATTTCTTGGACACGGCGGTGGCTTACATGTGGTATAGAAGCTTTGTCCCATATTTGTTCCACTTTTGTTGTCACTATTTCTGCCACATTGTGATGTGGTGGATCTTTATTGTTCAATTCATATTTAAGTTTCTGTTTTGTCAGATTGTAAAACTTCATAACATCTGCATAGTAATTAAAACTTCATAACATCTGCATAGTAAATCTGCGGAGTAATTGATTGTATCACAGAGCAAGTTTTAATAACTATCCAAAGTCAAGCAAATCAAAAAAAAATTTTTCACGTTTTCACGCCACCCTCATATATATATATATATATATATATATATATATATATATATATATATATATATATATATATATATATATATATATATATATATATATCTGAAAAAAAATCTGGCGCCGCTCTGCAGTAAGGGGGGGTCATGTTAGTATAAAATTATATTTTTTAGCATTAGTTCCTATTTTTATTTTTTAACATAATATCTATCATTTTTAAATATCTTATAATTTTCTTGTTTAGCACAGTTTAAAATAGCGTAGTTTACTGTTACAATATACAACTTAAATTATAGTTTAAATTGCAGTTATAGTGTAATGAGCATGATGTAATGACCAAGTAAAGTATTTAATACTATTACAATATTACTTTTAATAATTGTTTTTACTTAAGATGCTTAAAAAAGTAAAAGTAAAAGCTTTATAAAAGAATTCCTAAAAGCAACTTGCTTAATTATAGAAAATGTTTAATCATGATATTTGAATAAAAATTAAATGGCATCGCTTTTTCATATTCTGTTCAACATTTCTTGTTAAAATAATTTTTAGTTAGAAGCTTATATTATGTATTAACATCATATAAGATATAAATAGAAACATTTGTATTGCTAACTTTTCCGAGTCTTTGAGCATATAAAGTAAATTAATATAGTTGATAAGTTAATACTTAAGTAACTGTAAGTTACTGTAGTAACTTAACTTTTAATTTAGTTCTTATAATTTAGTTAGATGTACTTTTTTCCTTCAGTATATTAAAGTAAATAAAACTTTAAAAAGTTCAGGGTCGTTAAAGCAAAAAACATTGAAGAAAAAGCTTATTTGGTACAACTTTTTAAAAACAAAGATAAAAACCAGGCTGTTTTGTTAAAAAAAAAAAGAATGAAGAAAAAATTCTCTTTAACACCTTTTCCCTTTTAAACTTTTCGCTTTAACAACCTTTAAAATATTATTGGTTTCCACGCAGAGATTTTAAGTAATTTAAATTTAAAAGTACAATGAATGAAAAGCTCAACACAAAAGAGCAAATGACCATGCTTTTAAAAGATAAATTTAGCGTGATGTACTCTACGAACCCTTACGATACATGTTTTGAATTACAATACATGTTTTGACTATTTTATAGTCATCTTCAGTTGGGTTAAAAAAAAAAAAACTTATTTCATTTTATATACAAATATTTTACGGTAATAAAGTATAAATTATAATTTTATTATTAATTACAACAAAATCGGAATAGCAAAAAACACAATAAAAAAGTTATTTAAATATTTAACAAAAGGTTAACGACTAATAAAATGGTAACTATTATGTGAAAAGTAATGTTTTATTATCACTTTTTATACAATAGTTTTTATTACCTAAGAATATTTGTAAATAAAATTAACAAGTTTTTTTTTTTAAACTCAACTCAAGATGATGAATCAAGTTATAAAATAGTCCAAACTATTGTATTATAATTGTATTTGTTAAAAAATAGTTTTTATTAATAAGTGGAAAAAATTAGTCTTAGTTATTGTGCAAAAAAGTACTGCCTTCTATAATTCTATGATTATTGTTTAGATATCTAAATTTACTAATAAATGAATAAAGTTACAGAACTATAATATTGAAATAAGCCCTCCTCTAAAATTGTTTTTATTTTTGAAAGTTTCTTTCATTGATAAGTGTTCCAAATTTCAACCATCAAGCATGTAGCTATGTCGGATTCTCTTAGTTGTCCCAAGCCAGGTTTTTCGTAAATATCGCAAAAAACAGAAAAGTGATTACAAATCATTAGGAATGTTTTAATATTATTTATTTTTATTCCATTTAATGTAATTATTTATTTATCAAGGAAAAATAGATCTTTTATATTTTTGTTATTTAAAGATGAAAGCATTTAAAAAAAAATACTATTATTTTAGAAAAAAATTTTAAAGTTAGTGAATTTTTATACTTTTTAAGTGGAAATGTTTTTTTTTTTTTTGGATAAACTCGTGACGTCATGCTCATTTTTATATTGAGTGAAACAGCTGTGAAGCCATACTATTGCTGAATTATTATTCTAAGTTTTAAAAGCTACAATTTTCTTTACAGACATACAAAGTTGCATTACACTTCCAATAAAGAGTGAAACACCAATTAAAGCTTTAAATTAAAATAAATTAAGTACTTTAAAAGTATATATTTATTCAAATAATTGTTTGACACCTGGGTAAAAATAAGCAGGTTTTCCTTTTTTTTTTAGTTACCTAGTTATTAAAATAAAAAACAAATAAGATTACATAGTAAAAGTTTGAAGACAAAACATAAATAGAAAATTAAACTGCTTTTAAAAGTTTAAAATAAGAGAAGTAAAGAATCAAACGTATTGCTACAGTCACTAGAAAATTTGTCAGTTACTTTAGGATTTTAAATGTGTAAATGAGCAACAAAACTAATTAAAAAAAGTTATAGCAAATAAAAGTTAAACATAATAAAAAAATTAGAGAAAAAAATAGAGTGGTTTTCTACATAATGATATACTCTTAACAAAAAAGGTATTTTTGATTCACAAATAATACCAGATATAATAATGAGTATTTAATAAGTTTACTAACCAAACAAAAATCTTTTTTTAAAATTAAATTACATATAAAAAACTTGTAGGAGATTTTCGATTTTATTTCTTTTAAATAATTTTACATCAAAGAAACTTACGTCATCAATGAAATTTTGAAATTTCTGTAACTTGTTATCTAACTCACCAGGTGTAACTGAAGCCATTTTGTTTATTTTTCGTGAATAATATTTTCGTGAACATATATCTCTATATACAAAATCACGAAAATCTTAGCGACTATCGCAACGCAAAACTTAACGTTTAAAAAAAATAAACAATCTAATTATGTAAATTGATTTTTTTTTTTCTAATAGTTTATTTTACTAACCTAATTTTGTTTTAAAGCTAAATTCCGCAACTAATTTAAAATCTTAAAATAAAATAAGTAATTTAAAACTACTTATGCAAAAAATTAAAATGAAACAGAGCAAATAAACCCCTCCGTATGGCCAAAATAGATTAAAGTGAAGACAGTAGTAACAACAACAACAGTAACAAAAAATAAAACAAATTAAATAAATGAATAAATAATAACAATGATGATAATAATAATAGTAATAATAATAATAATAATAATAATAATAATAATAATAATAATGACAATAATAAATTTAAACTAATAATTTTTGATAAAATTCGAAGTTTTATCTTACAGCATACACATATTTTATTACTAATATCCTAAATGTTTTTTTTTGTTGACTTGGTTTTGTGGTTTCGAAGGTTGCAATTAGTTTTCAAATAAAATATTTTTCCATAAAGTTATGGTCTTTAATTTGCTTTGTTGCAGAGTTGATAAAAAACCATAAAATGTAAAACCATAATTAATAAATTGATGAATTTTGTGTTGCGACAATTAATCCACATATATGAGAACTTCTTGTAAATTGCATGTTAACCTAATTGCCAGAATAAACAATTCATTACCCGTTTTAAATGGGTAATTGGTTTTAAAGGGCATTTACACATCCATATTGTAATATTTATAAAACTAATATTATTATATAAACCATTATTCACTGATAGTAATAATGTATAATAATAGATATAAATAATTGATAACACTATTAACAAAAGTAGTAATACTGATATATTGACTCAATATACCAGTATTAACATAATATAGCTTAATATATTAACATAGTTTTTAAATGTACTAGTAATTGATCTCTTCTATTTTAACTAATCTTAAAAAACTCTGCCATATCTTTAAGATTGTTTGCCAATTATAAAGTATTATTAGTTTAAAAACTTACCATACTATCTTCTAGCATACTGTTTAGCAATATTTTATCTTCTAGCATACTGTTTAGCAATATTTATTTTTTTAAAATTTTTTTAAGTATTTGACCATCCCTTGCTTTAATAGTTGACCATATGTTTAATGAGAGAAAAATGAAAGCAATAATAATTTTTTTTTTATTTCAGTGAATTGAACATTGTAAAGAATATTTTTGAAGTGATGCAACACAAATACAACATTTTATTGCAAATGAAATAATGAATAAGTGTTTATTTCTGGTATAAGATATCATCCACATCGAGAACTAAAGTTTGGATGGTGGATTTTTCTTTGTATTTGTTCCCTTATATATATGAACTTATCTTCCTTATCTGACCATGATAAGAAGAAATGACACTCCTAACCCTTGTGGCTGTCTCAAAGCCACTAGCCACAATTTACACTATTTTGCTTGAAAATTGGCTTTCTTCACTTAAAGAATTTTTATACCAAACAGAATTTTCACCATTGCTAAGCTCAAGAATGAATATAGATGAGTCTGAATCAGACTCTTCATATTGTTTCTTTTCTTGATTTTTTGCTTACTTTGCTTTTTCCTTGTTTTTCTTTTCTTTCATTCTCATTTATTTTCTCAACTTTCTTTCATCTGAACCAAACCTATTATTATAAAAGGTACTTAAAATAATTACTTTTATAGTTAACTTAATTTTGTGACATCTCCTTAGCAAGTTGTAAAAGAAAACTTAAAAATTAGACAAGACCATAGCTTGTAAACATTTATTGTCAGCCATCTTTGTTCAAAGCTGTCAAATGTTTTCCGCCTTTATGTGTGTACAGCCAAATAACAGGAGAGTAGTTTCCCTCTTTTAAAATTATTTTAACAATTTTTCTTCTAAATGGTCAACTAATGGCATATGGTCAATTATTTCCTAATTTACCTTAAGTCTAAACACAAAGAGCTGTTAAGAGCAATTTTTTACCATAAACAGTTTACAATCATTAGTATAGCTTATATATATATATATATATATATATATATATATATATATATATATATATATATATATATATATATATATATATATATATATATATATATATATATATATATATATATATATATATATATATATATATATATACTTTATATTTGACACTTATGTATATCATGTATGGTAAAAAAACAACTCTTAACAATTGCTGTTCTTTTTTTAGTTAAGAATGGTTTTGTAAGTAATTAATTAGTAATTAGCTGTAAGCATGAAAATTATTTAGTTAATTTTGTTTAGATTTCAGTTAAGTTATTTGATTTTTGTTACTTAAGAAGTCAAGTTTGACGCTTTATGTTTATCTTCTTATATGCAGCATCTAGAGAATGTTGAGCTTGATCCATTCAGTGATGATCAGGTAAATATTATCACAATGTAGTTTGTTATCAATTGGAAAAAAATTTTTTTTTATTTATTTGTGTTTTATTCATTTTAAGGCTGAGTTAAATTACTTGAAATCAAAGCCAACATGTTTTATAGTACTAGGAAAACCG